ATTATGGATTTTAAACTCATAACAAGTACGTAGAAAGTTTTAAATATGAGAAAATTATAGTAATAATTTCTCACATTTGATTTAATTGGAGTAACGGTTTTCATAATTAAAAAATTTGTGATCATTGATCATTTAATTTATCAAAATGTATGGCTATAGTTCTTTTCATCGACTCTGTCAAAACTTCCATCAAAATGAGTTATGTTAAAAGGACTATTGCTACAATTTGGATTAAAGTTGAGGGATCATTGCTCCAACTAAGTTAAAATTGAGGGACCATTTCTCCAATTGAGTTAAAGTTGAGGGATCATTGCTACAATGTTTCTTCTTTGGTTTTCCATATTTGTTCCTTGATTCAGCCTCACGTGCATGGCATGTGACTCATTTTGACGGAAGTTCTAACATAGTTGATGAAAATGACCGTAGCGGCACGTTTTGATGAGTTAAGGGACCAACAATCACATATTTTTAGTTGAGAGACCATTACTACAATTTTCTCATAATATACAATAGACAGTATTATTTATATGGATAATGCTAGGGAGACCAAATTTGCAAACCAAATGATATGGTTGTTGATAATTGAATTATTACTTAAGTGTTGATTAACGTGCTTATTTCTTATTGATGACACATAATTTGCTTTGCAAATTTGATTTAAATTTTTTATTTCTCTAGCATTATCCTATTTACATACATCTGATTTATGTGGAAGCTTAAAAAATATTGCCGTACAAACTTCCACAAAAAATGAAAACAAATATCAAACTCCACACATTTAAGAGTAATTTGATAAATCATCTGCAATAACAGAAGTAAAATGGAATTGAAGTTTGTTGCATCAAGATCAGTGGACTCATGAATTTTGTTCTTCATGGTTAAAATACATGATTAAACATAGTGCCTTGTTAGGAACAGCATCAAAGTTCTTCCCCTTAATCTTCTCAGGCCACCGTGAGGCATCAGGAGAAGCAGCCTTTATCAACTCCGAATCAGATTCATCGTCTTGAGAGTCGAGACCGTCAAAGAAACACTTAAGAGGGTTGGGGTTTGAAAACCCTCAATATTTTGATCAATGCTCACATTTTAACGATTCATTCGAGGTTTTAGGGTTAACTTGCAGGGCTTAAATGGCTTCTATATAAAATATGCAGGCACTCTCATCCAACCACATCAATAAATTGCAATCCCCATTTGCTTATGTTCCTTCGATGCGGAATCGAGAGTAATGTTATCCACATATTTCTGTTTTTTTTTTTAGATATCTCAAACCACGTGATATATTGGAGTTTTCTTGATTGAGAAATGCTAAGGGTACTCCTTTAAATTGAGATTTTTCATAGACTCTTTATCACTTTATATTTTTAGCATAATTTTTTATAACATCGGCACGATAATTGATGTTAATCTGTGAGGCGACAGAGAATCTTTGAAGAGTCTCACTTTTAAAAACATTTTTTCGATATCTCATCAGGGCAGCAAGGTTGTTAGGCTTGGAGCTTTAGTTAGTGCAAAGTACTTTGAAGCATTTATGTGTCTACTCCACGTGGGTAAATAACCGTTTTAACCGACGCTTTTAACTTCAAAGATTAAAGAGATTTTTCTGTGTGATTGATATACGGGATGATACAATATATGTTATTATATAAATGGCGAGATATATGTATGCTAAAAAATTAATAACTTAAAAAAAAAAAATTTCTTATCACTTCCATTAAAACACGTACCACTTGTGTTCCCGTCATAACTAAAAAATTATTCAAAGACTAGGATTGTTTTGAACTCTCTGCCGAGCAACTTCAGCGGCCCGGAAAGGTTGACCAAAAACAAAGAAGAAGAGAGAAACTTCCACCAGAAAGAGCCCTGCAAATGTTTTGACCCACATGCCCGCTAACTTCCAAGTTTCACACCAGACAGACATTTCTCTTCTGCATTCAATTACTAATATACTCGATTTCTCTGGGTCTTATTTTTGTGTTTTATAAAAGTGAAGATTATTAGAAGGATCCATTTGGACACATCTAAGCTTTGCTATCATTCCTTTTTCCTTTGGTTTCAAATTTTCAATTAATTATTTCATTGGATGAAATAGGTAACTAATTAAGGAGTGAATATTCAGTAAGAGTGTTGCGTAATCAGACTTGTAAAACCGTTTAATAAGAAGTTGTAATAGTATCATGAGCGGTGTCATATTTATTGAAGTATATGCGTCACACATCATAAACTTCATGAAGTTAAATCCCTCTTTATATTATAGTTGACTGATTCCACTACAAAGCCCTCGCTTGGCAGCTCATGTAAGGACTATAAGGACCGAACAGAATTACCAATACAAATCGGGTCGTTTGGTCCCTCCCACATTAAATAGGCAACATACCATTTAACCGGTTCCACTTATTTTATATGATTACACCCGCTTAATAATACTGGGCAAAGGACGTGTATTATTAGTCAGGTCGCGTTATCGAGAACTCAGCTGCCATCTGAACTGGAGAAACAACTCTCTAGCTTTTCGACCAACAAATGAAACTCAGCTCATACCACTAATTCCCACCAACCAACACACCAAAAAAAAAATCTCAAAACTCGTTTTGTATTCAATCTCACACCTATTGGATTGCAAATGTGCATGGTTAAGTTAAAGACAATATCAATATGATTAGTAGTGAGTCGCTAAACCGTCTTTGAAACTTTCAAATGATATCAGAGTGGACAGATCTTGTGAGCTGTGGCTCACTAAAAACGATTCCACATGAGTAAGGGTATTGAAGCATATGTCCTACATCACAATCCTCATGAACAGCCATGCCCCGAAATCTTTCCCCTAATAATCAAGTCTCTAAAACATGAAAGCATTTGTGTTTAGGAGATCAATTAAGGTTTTGAAACTAATCTTGCATCACTCTGCTAACGTAAACTATCTCAGTTAATTAAAATAGTGTGATCATTGTTTTGCCACTCAAGTTTTCAGAATATTGTATTGCAAGATGCAAATAATATTGAAAATGGCCGCAGCCCCGTACGCGGTCCAGGCATAAGGCAACGACGTGCGCCTGGTTTGATTTGTCTCATTTTTTTTTAACCCTACATATGTTTGGCACTCACGACTTTGATTCGTAGGTTTCAGACTCTCATATCTATACAATATTATTCAAGTTGACATGTTGAAGATGATGCTTTAGTACAGTGGCAAAAAACAATAATTCTTATGCATTATGTTGCGATTTCAATCTCCTTTTATTCTCCTTCTCTCTAATATTTAACAAATTAACCGACTACTATCATTCGTCAGAACAGAAAGTTGGCGTGATGAAAACGAAATAGGAAGATTAAATCGAAATTGTCAACATGGGGGACTAATTAATCCTCCCGTGGTAGGTAGTACGTATGAATCATGCACATGATATGAACATGCATCTAAGACTTTTATGTGTTCGTGATTGCATGCGGTGCTTATTTTTTCATGATGTTTACATTATCAAAGAATTACTAAATAATTAATTAACTAACTAATTAATTCAAGTTTAACCAAACAAGTTACAACCAAAAGTCCAAATATAATAGAAGCTAGATCTCACTTAATGACAGCCGTACCACATCAAAGATGTGGACCGAAATTAATTAACTAGTATAGTTTTTTTATATATTATTTTAGAAAAATGGCAATGTCCTATATTAGTGAAATTAATTAATTAACCTTCAAATGGCTATATATTAAACTTTGAAGCTTTTTCAATTCCTCGCTTCTTATTTAAATGTTCTATAGCTTGTAGACGTGTATATGCTTTTAAATATTCACTTGCAAACTAGAATCTACGAGGAATTGAGAAAACTTCAAAGTTTATTATTGAATGATATGAAAAGATTCCAACCCTAGCATCCTAGAGATTACTTATGTAGTGCCTCTTAGCTCTAGACTTCGTAGAAGTACACATAGGAAGCGAGTCTTAACGAAACATTTATGGTACTGTTTACTTTTAACGTTAATGACATTTTTACTCTAAAAAGTCATTCCTGGTACTATTCACTTACAACACTGTTTTGTCATTTTGATTAAAACTCAAAGTTTTCAAATTATTTTTATTAGTTTTCCTTTAAACAAATAACAAAATGTTGGAGAAGTATAAAAAAAAATCTTGAAATTTCATTTTGGGCAAGTAAATGGAATATATTTAGCCAAAAATGACCCGTATGCGAAGATGAAGTGTTGAGTCTTGTTTGCCTTGCAGTTCTCATCAAAACAACGAGTCATGAGCACAAATTGAATACCATAAACCAAATTTGAAATGTTTAAAATTTACAACCAATTTTACGTCTTTTAAACTGTTCTTCGATTATTTTAGTTATATGTTCCACATCATTAATTAATAGAATATGGTGACAACATTGACTATCATGAGGATAGGCATCTAAAAACTAAATTGAAAATTCTTATAGACAAAATGGAACAAGTCTAAAGTTCATGGAAAATTCCTAAAAGAATTTCCCTTTACCTTCATACAATAAATTATTTAATAGAAAAGAGGAACCGAAGCTTCTGTGCAAGTGGTGCTGGAAAATAAGCAGACAAGAACCACTTTTTATGTTGGGGTTGTGATCTACCAGGATGCCATATGGTTGTAACCTGGCTGTCTGTCACTGTAACCAGACCAAAGGTTGTTCCTCATAAAACCAAATTAAATCAGAAAAAATCGCTAAGGAGACTTTCTTACAGTACAATTTTATATATACTTTTTGATATCTTATGTTTTTGCATAATATTTTAAAATATTAGTAAAAGAATTGACATTAAACTTTAAATTAACAGAAAATTCATAAAGAATCATACTTTTAAAAAAATATCTTGATATTTCTCAAAACCAGACTCGAATATCTGAAAAAAAAAAAAAAAAATTAAAGATTTAGGTGCCAGTTTACATTGACTAAGCTTAATATACTGTGTCTGATCATCATTGGCTGATTAAGAAATATATAAATATATATATATAATTGTGAAAGATCAGAAGCTGTCTTGGACCTTGCATTTCTTGCTGATCAAAGGGAATTTATATAGCTCTCTCCTGCTTCCTTTGTTATTCACTTCAGCTCAGGAGAGTCAGCTCGGACTCTCTCTCCTCTCTCTCTCTCTCTCTAGAATTCAATATTTCCAAAGATCCAGATTTCCTGGAAACTGCGTAAAAGGTTGAAAACTTTCATGTGTTCTTCCCATATCTGACAACCCAGTAAATCTTCAGCTTAAAGATTCATTGGCGTTTGGTTTCCTGTTCCTCCGGGGGAATCGGATTCCCGAGCAATGGCTCCGAGCTCCGTCGTGGTCACAATCGAAAAGCCCGAAAATCCGTCACTAAAGCACAATCTACTGGATTCCTCAGCCTTTCTGGAGAAACAAAAAGCCGTGAGCACCAAGCAATTCACATGGGTTCTTCTCCTCAAGGTGAACAGAGTATTCGCCTGCCTCTCATGGCTGCCGATGGCGTTGAAGGCAACGTTCCTTTCGCTTAAAAAGCGCATTGCTTTATCTGACTTGACCGACGAAGAGCCCAAAACCCGAGGAAGGCTGTACAGATTCATCAAAGCCTTCCTCGGGTTGTCGATTGTGGCTCTCGTCTTCGAAATGATTGCGCATTACAAGAACTGGAATTTGAGTTTGTACCAGCCGTGGGAGGCGCAGGGTCTGGTGCAGTGGTGCTACATGGTTTGGTTGACTTTCAGAGTTGACTATATTTCCCCGGTGGCCATCGCCATGTCCAACTTCTGCGTTGTGCTTTTTCTGATTCAATCTTTTGATCGATTGGTTCTGTGTGTCGGATGCTTCTGGATCAAGTACAAGAAGATAAAGCCAACAATTGCAGAAGATGCTTTTGACCTTGAAGATCCTTCTAGTTTTCCAATGGTGCTTATTCAGATCCCTATGTGCAATGAGAGAGAGGTAACAGAGCAAACTAGCTCATTGAATTTCACTTCCTCTTTACTTTTTATGTACGTTGGCAATTGGCATTTGTTATCGGATATAGAACAAATGACGGAGTGCATTGAAGAGCAACTTGATAGGCGTAAAGTTTAGAAACAACAAAATTCGGGCTTTGCAGGTTGATAGTGGATTGTGGTCCCAAATCCGAGCTCGGAGCTCAAACCTGCAAAGCTTGGATGCTACTTTTGTGGACTTACGCTTGTCAAGTTGCTTTTCAGTTCATTCCTCCACTTTTTGGGTTGTTTTTCTAGGTGAATTGGCATTTGTTGTTAGAACAAATAACCGAATGGATCGAAGAACTACTTGATAGGCATAACTTCAGGAACATTAAAATCCCCGAGATTTTGATGTTTATGGACTAACGTCTTTCAAGCTGTTCTTCGATCCATTCTGCCATATGTTCTACATCGACTTTATATTTAGTTACCTTCCTGCGTTCTGTTTTCATTCAATTCCAACTATATGATGCCTTCTGTTGCTTATCTATCTTGTAGGTGTATGAGCAAGCAATTGCATCTTCATGCCAGATGGATTGGCCAAGAGACAGACTTTTGATTCAGGTCCTAGATGACTCGGATGACATAATTTTACAGAATTTGATCAAAGACGAAGTCTCGTCGTGGCATCAGAAAGGTGTGAATATAATCTACAGACATCGATTGATCAGAACCGGCTATAAAGCCGGCAACCTTAAATCCGCCATGGGTTGTGATTATGTCAAAGACTATGAGTTTGTGGCAATTTTCGATGCTGATTTCACTCCCAATTCTGATTACCTTAAGCGGACAGTTCCTCACTTCAAGGTGAGGACATCTTAGTTATTGATCTTTTTTTGGTAACATTGGAGGGAATCGACCTTTGGACTAACGATTCTGAGATTTTGTTGCAGGGAAATCCGGAACTAGGACTTGTCCAAGCTCGATGGTCTTTTGTGAACAAGGACGAGAACTTACTCACGAGGCTCCAAAACATCAATTTGTGCTTCCATTTTGAAGTGGAACAGCAAGTGAATGGTGTCTTTCTCAATTTCTTCGGATTCAATGGAACCGCGGGAGTTTGGAGGATTAAGGCTTTGGAAGAATCAGGAGGTTGGCTGGAGAGAACAACAGTTGAGGACATGGACATTGCAGTTCGTGCACATTTGAACGGATGGAAAATGATCTTCCTCAATGATGTAAGAGTCCTCTGTGAATTGCCAGAGTCTTATGAAACTTACAAGAAGCAGCAGCACCGTTGGCATTCGGGTCCAATGCAGCTCTTCAGGTTGTGTCTTCCTGCTATCTTGACTTCCAAGGTATAGATTTCATCATCCAACTTTGTTTGATTGATTGCTTCCGAAGAAATGCTTGAATTGTAGGTTTATGTATCAAAGTTTTAATCTTTCGAAATTATGCGTGCAGATTTCGATGTGGAAGAAGTCGAACTTGATATTTCTTTTCTTTCTGTTGAGGAAGCTAATTCTTCCCTTCTACTCATTCACATTGTTTTGTATCATACTCCCACTCACCATGTTCTTACCTGAGGCAGAACTGCCTCTTTGGGTAATCTGCTACATTCCGATTTTCATGTCCTTTCTAAATATCCTCCCGTCCCCGAAATCATTCCCTTTCTTGGTCCCCTACCTTCTTTTCGAGAACACAATGTCTGTCACAAAGTTCAACGCCATGGTCTCAGGGCTATTCCAGCTCGGAAGTTCCTACGAGTGGGTGGTGACAAAGAAGACCGGAAGATCATCTGAGTCGGATTTGCTAGCCTATTCCGAGAGGGAATCGCTGTCTGCGAATGAAGAGAAGATCCTGAGGAGGAACTCCGAGTCGGGTCTAGAATTACTAAGCAAACTCAAGGAACAAGAAGAAGTAGTTCCCAAGAAAAAGAAGAAGAATGGGATCTACAGGAAAGAGCTTGCTCTTGCTTTCTTGCTGCTCACTGCAGCAGCCAGAAGCTTCTTATCTGCTCATGGAGTTCACTTCTACTTCTTGCTTTTCCAAGGCTTGTCATTTCTTGCTGTAGGGTTGGACTTAATAGGTGAGCAGATGGGCTAAAACAAGCTAAACAAAGTTCATATTTTTTTCCCATAGTTTTTTCTTTTGACAGCTTTGATGAACCCTAATTACGATCAAGAAGTTACTGTGTGGGACGGTATCACCACATCAAATGGGGTTCAAAAGTTGAATTCATTTTTTCATGTAGAAATATTTTCCCTTTTGTTAGATAGTATAAGAAATAAATTATTGTACAATGGTATATGTCATCAGTGTATGAAGTATTGATAATAAAGTATAAACAACTCAGTTATTTTTTCATTGCTTTATAAATTGGGGTCTTTTACGCTCCATTTTCCTCCATTTGTGCGCCTCTTCTTGCTTCTATACGTTCACTCTTTGATATATTGAATTATCAAAGCATAAGCAAAAACAAGGGAGCGTGAAAATTGTCACCGGAACATAAAAACACATACCACCTCAACACAACCAAGAAACAAAATGAACCAAACTTTGTACTATAATTCAGTCAAGACTTGAAATAGAAGCATAATTTTTTACCTAAACTCGAGCCGGAATTGGATTTTTTGTCAAAGGTAGTGACTTTGTGTTGCATAAAACCTAAACCCTTAAAAAACAAGGGAGTGAGAAAATTATCGCCGAAACTTTAAAAAACACATACCACCTAACACAACCAAGAAACAAACTGAACAAAACTTAGCACTACAAATCAGTCAAGACTTGAAGGAGAAGCATAATTTGTAACCTAAACTCAAGCCGGACTCGGATTCTTTGTCTAAGGTAGCAACTTTGTGTTGCGTAAATTATTACGGAGATTCGAAACTAAGAAGGTGTTCATTTCCGCAATGTTTATATGCCATGAGTGTGCAGAACGAGGATCCCACTGCTGCAAAATTGATGGACTTTTACATTCCTTTTGGTCAAATTGCATTGTCCTGGATGTCAAAAATATAATCTCATATGGTTTCTGAGCAACGTGTTAGGTGTTAGGTGTTAGACGTAGACGGATACGTAGGGAGGTGCAGGCAATCAAGGAGCAAACAAAGGATGCCTTTGTGTCAGGATGTCTGCATCTGGTGGCAACTAAAATGAGTCCGTGACAACTGTTGACGTGTCCGCAACTAAGAATTGAGATATCTCGGTGTTCCTCCTACATAGTTTGGAGTTATTTTAATACACGGCTTTTTAATTAAAATGATTTCTGAGATTGATATAATTCCTTATTTTGATTTTGAAATTGAAAATCGATAGAAGTGGTCATTGAGTTTGTCCATCATCAATCATTTTGATCATTTTATAAAAACCTCTGGTAAATTAAGGTATTTTTGTCCAATCAACCTCTTCACTTGCTTCTCCATTTAACAAAGATTTTTCACGAAAAAACCAAAATGATTGACGGTGGACAAACTCAATGTCACTTCTATCGATTTTCAATGTCTGGACCAAACTGAGGAATTATGTCAATCTCATAAACTATTTTGGCTAAAAAGCCTCAAAACACTGTTTGACTCCTTACAATAGGAATCAAAGTTCTTGGAGGCAATCTATTTGATTGTATCGTAGTGAAGTTGAGATTTTCCTATGAGTTAAGGACGTTTCACCAGCGGGCAAATAATTTTTGTGCCATTAGTTTCAACATATCTACAATTCTACAAATCAAAGCTAAATATATACAAAAGTAAATTACTAAAATCACAAGAAGAAAAATTTCTACGCTCACGAAAATCTTTGATTTGTCTGTAAAGAGGAATTACACTCAAGAAGTGGCAAGTATTTTTAATTTCAAATTACCCCATGTGAGGATTAATATTTAATTAATTTAGTGTTTGATAATTATTTTATTTTTTGTTCTTAAAGCTTGTTTGATGATCATTGACCATTGAATTACAGAAAAAACCAAAAACCAGTAAATATAAAAGTTTAAGTTATTTTCACCTTCAAGTTATATTTCATGCATTTCCCCATCATTTCTACTCACCCTCTTTTCCAACTTTATACTTCTTCATCTCCAAGACGAAAACTAAAAACTACAAACAAAATCAACGATCTAAAAAGAAAAACAGTTGGGCCCGAAGCCCAGGTCCTCAGCCACAGCTCGGCCCATTAGAGCCACGAGAGTTTCTTCGTTTCTTAACAGGATTCTCTCCGGATTCTTTTTGGTGTAAATTTTGGAGATCCGTGAATTATGTGTCGTACATTGTACGGTCAGTTTTTATCAAATATTTTTTATGTTTATTTTTGAATAAAAACATTTAAAATAATTTTTAACTATACGATTCACGAATCCGAGAACCTCACCAAGTGAATCCTCGGGAGTCCGGACTCCTTCGTTTCAACAGAGTGACTCACTAGAGACTCGACGAGACGCATGCTTTATGCAAATTTCAAATATTCAAACTTTATTTTCGTCACAAATATCTAGGGTTTCATCCTCGTAAGCTTTTTAACATTTGGGGAAATTGCAGTTGTGCTGTAAGTTGGAAGTTGGAGCTTCAATGGCGGAAGAAGGTGATGCTTTTTATGTTGTTCGGAAGGGGAACGTCATTGGCATTTACAAAAACTTTATGGATTGCCAAAGCCAAGCCGGTTCTTCGGTAAAACTTTACCACCTTTTTATCAATGTTAAAGAAAACTTGGCTGATTTTTCTCTGATTTTTCCCAATTTCTTGATCAATTTTGGCTAACCTAGTTGAATTCTCACTTGGGTTTTCTTTAAATTTGTTAAAATAACCGTAATTTCTTCCTATTGTTTGGTTATGGTGTATGCTATGTTAAAGACTTGTGCTTTCTGGTGGTGGTAGTGTGAGATTTTTGCGTCTAGTTACAAATTGTGGTGTGAAATATGCTTCTACAGATTAATAATTGTGTGCTTTTTTGAAAAGTTCATTTGCATATGAGGTGGTTTTTTGCTTTTTAGGTATGCAATCCTTCTGTAAGTGTGTTCAAAGGCCACTGTTTGCCTAAGGAAGCTGAGGAGTACCTCGTCTCGCACGGCCTTAAGAATGCTTCATATACTATCAGTGCCAGTGATGTGAAGGATGACGATCTTTTTGGAAAGCTCGTTGCTTGTCCTTTTCAGGTTTGATGTTTTGCTCTGCTCTTTTCTATGGCATTTGGCATGGAAATAGGTAGTTGTATCATAGACGATCTTATATTCGTTTACTGATTGTGTAATTGGGCATGTTCATAACTTTCAGCAGCCAGATTCTCCTGCCAAGGACTCACCGCCAAAGAGATCGCATGGGGTGGCCGGCGCTACTGCATTCCCAATCTCTCAGAGTCAGAGAAAGCATTTCAAATCTGATAATCAACCTGAAGCTCTTGAAAATTCATCTAGTTGTGTAAGTTTCCGTTTGTCACGTCCACTAATACTTTATAGTAAACTTAATCTACCTACGTTTCTATTTGTGCATATTCATAATTTTCAGCAGCCAGATTCTTCTATAGTAAAATCAGATGCTAAGGACTCACAACCTAAGAGATTGCAGGACATGATTGGATCTACTCCATTCCCAATATCTCAGAGGAAGCATTTCACGCCGGATAACTACATTGAAAATCTAGGAATTTCTTCTTTTTGTGTAAGTTTTATTTGTGAAATCGAATGTGTCAAATCACATTGTTATGGTTATGATAAGTTGAAAAATGTTTGTGACCAATTTATTTTTTCAGCAAACCTGTACGCTTGAGTTTGATGGTGCTTCAAAAGGAAATCCTGGACAATCTGGTGCAGGAGCTGTGCTACGAGCTGAAGACGGAAGCGCTGTATGCAGTTCATTGAAACAGTTTAGTTCTTTTACAGCATATTTTTCTGTAAAATCTAGCTCTTTATTTATATCATTGGGTTTTATAGGTGTACCACTTGCGTGAAGGGGTGGGAATTGCAACAAATAACGTTGCAGAATATCGAGCCGTAATTCTGGGATTGAAATATGCTCTTGAGAAGGGATATAAACACATTCGGGTTAAAGGAGACTCTAAACTTGTCTGCATGCAGGTTCGTAACTTTGTTTATGTTACAGCACTCGAGTTTTTTTTTAAGTCCTTCGTTTGTCGATAAGTCTTACAACGCTTTCTGATATAACAGGTCCAAGGTCTCTGGAAAACAAAAAATCCGAATATGGTTGACCTGTGTGAAGTGGCCAAGGAGCTGAAAGACATGTTTACGTTATTTGAGATCAATCATGTTCTTAGGGTGAGTTCAGTTGTGCTAGAAGAAAATTTGTAATGTAATACTTTGTGTGATAAATCTTCAAGAGTAGAAGAACTTGATTTGAGGAGAGTACGAGAAGGGATTAAACATGAACTCTTTCGAAAGTGACAATCTGCTATTTGTTGCAGGAATACAATTCTGAGGCTGATGTTCAAGCAAATCGAGCAATAAATCTTCGAGGTGAGTGGCTTCCGGCTCTGCTGAATTCATCAAGTTTTGATGGTTTATAATTGTTCCCATTTATTCGAACTAATCGGATCTTATGCTTGAACAGATGGACAAGTTGAAGTGGATTGGAATGGGAAGTAGCTCAAATAAAATGCTGGAAAGGGGACGGCATTGTTTTGTAACCCAAAACATTTTTTATGGAAATAGCAGAGCTCTCCTTGCTATGTACATCCCAACTCCTTGATGTAATGTTTTCAGTGATGGTTTTGGAACCCAAAATTTATTGCTAACGTAAGGCTCGTCTGAGAGTATGTTGTAAGCACTTTTGCTTGTAAGTGCTTTTGTTGGAAATGAATTTACATGAAACACATTGAGACTTTTATTAAATTTCGTGTGTTTTTCTTAGAATTGCCTTTGCTCCTCAAATCAATTTTACAACCATGAGTACTTCTATACTTTTCTGTCAAGCATAGTTAAAAGCGTTTTATATCGAAGTATTCTAGTATACGGGAAGACAGTGAGATTCAAACGTGGGTGTAAATTTGAGAAGATGAAAAACAATGGACGGCCGGGATTAATTTCCCAATTTCTAGGAAACTAGATAGGGAGCCGAAGGCCCAAAAGGCCCAATGCCCACTTTCTCCCTCACACTTCTTCGACTTAACGTCTCAGAGCAGTTGGCTGGATAATGCTTTGGTGAAAAAACACAGAGGAATCAGAAACGAAGATAAAACTCACCGCAAACAAATGGCCACCGTTTCAGCCTCCACATTCTCTCCTATCCCATCCTTCCGCACCCCGAACCATTCCCATTCCGTCGGGATTCCGATTCCCTCTCCAACTGTCTCGTTTCGGAACGTTTCCGCCTCTTTCCGGAGCTTAACGCACAAGGACCGCCGGTCCCGGAGACCCACAATTCTGAGGGCCGTCGAAGAGGAAACCCCAATTCCAGCTGAAGAAGAAGCAGCGGTCAGCAGCGAGCAGCCGGAGCAGCCCGTTTCGGTCCCCGTTTCGCCCTCCGACACTCTCACCATGGTTTTCCAGGTAGCCCAGCTAGTAATTTTCTCGAAGTTTGTAACTTTAGGAATTATTATCAATTTGTGAATCTTATGTAGGAAGTACTTCTGCTTCTATAAACATGTTATTGAAAATCCAATTGAGAAGCACCTAGCACTTAGCAGGTGCTTCCAGAAAGCGCTTTCTTGACTTAGAAGCATTTTAAGTTTTTTTGCCAAAAGTCACAAGCGCTTCTGGTTGTCGTAAGCACTTCTAGGCCTTATAGAAGCAATACCAAACATCTTCATTTGCATTAATCTGGAACTTGAAGTGGGTTTTTGGAGTTAATTTCACTGGTGCCCTGCAAATTTTGAAGAAATTATTTTACTTGGGGGGTTTTAACAATTTATACATTGATGAATGACATGTCTTTTGTTCTGTATAATATCTGAAGGCAGATGGAACGATGAGTGATGCAGCTATCCCATCAGTAACCAAAGCCTTACAGGTACAATTTCCATTTTTTAGTAAAGCCGATGTCGAAATTCTGAATCGAATTCTGGATTCTTCTTCGTAATTTGTTACAAGTCATGGATTTTGTTGCAGGAAACTGCAGGCATTACCAACTTAAAAGTTGAAGTGATTGAGGGTATTGCAACTGTGGAGGTGCGTATGAAAATTCCAATCTTGGGTCTTGTAACAAATAGCGAAATATATGTTATCCGATTATCCATAATAGTAGTGTTGCCGATCCTCCGTTGCACTCAATTTCGAATCCCCCTTCCTATAGATTAGAGTAGTATATGTTATTATCGACTTGTCAAAGATAATGTCTACGATCTGCTCAATACTAAATTTTCCGTAAATTTCTATGTACTTCGATCACATCTGATTAATTTCGGTGTTTTAGGCAGTGTGAGATGCATTCCCATAAATTTCTATGTACCATGATCACATCTTATCAATTTCGGGTGTTTTAGGTTGTGTGAGATGCATTCAGGTTTCTATTGAGAATCATAGGTAAATAACTTCTTCTCTTGTTTCCAGTTGACGAAACAGACGACAGTACAAGCTACCGGGGTGGCTTCCAGTTTGGTGGAGACCATACAGAGTAAGGGATTTAAGCTACAAACATTGAATTTAAGCTTTGATGAGGAAGAGGAAGTTGCTGCTGTCTGAATTTTGTAATGCTGCTCATCTAGGATTTGAGGAATTTGAGGTAAAACAAAAAAACGACAAGTATATCGTTGAATCTATTTCCTCGTATCCATGTTTTGTACTTCTGTAGTTAGTGAAGAAGGATTGAAATTGTATTTCAGACGGTGGATAAACATAATCACTTTCCCAGACCTCGCAAAAAAGAAACACGGACAATATTATTGTTCTTGCGAGTTGACTTTGGGCAAAGCTTTTGGGGTACATTGCCATTTGACCCTTTGAACTATTGCTCCTGTTGAAATTGATCGCTTGAACTATTCTTTTAGGAAATTAACCGCCTGAACTATTTGGAATCAGCCAATTAACCTCCCATCGTAAGTTCAAAGAAATTTCATCCATTTTGCCGCCAAATATTGGCACATGACCAGCACATCATTCACTCTTGAGGATAAAAGAGTGCTAATATATATTTCATCGAATATGACGTTAAGGAGTTAATTGACTGATTCCAAATAGTTCAAGGTTAATTTATCAAAAAAAAATTGTTCAAGGAGTCAATTTCTACTTGAGTAATAGTTCAGATGGTTCAACGACAGTTTACCAAGCTTTAATTTGGAATATTGTTGTTCAATGGGTCCAACTGGGACTGCTGAGATTAATTTTGTTCTGGTCCAGGGCCCGGCGATAGGTCGACCCTCTTGGGTTTTCGAATCAGATCAGTCAAGACCGGCCCAGGCCATATATTGCTGGCGTTGTCCCACCTGCTTATTGTGTTCTGAATTTTCTATTTGGTTGCGTCTCACTTGAACTTCCACTTTGTATTAATGTCCTTCCAACTACCAATTTTGTCACAAAATTAAGGAATCGAAACATTTGGAGAAGCCAAAAAAAAAGTATTGAATGTCGCACATTTAAGGTACACTCAAAGGTTTCAAATGTGACCATAAATTTGATGAAATAATTGAATGGACTACCATGAATTGAAAATACAAGAGACTCGTAATCAAATTGAAAGTTCAGAGAACAAAGGGAATCACAACCTCTAATTCGGAACTTGATTTTATTTTGATTATTTGATAACCATATTGACATAAACCACACAGAGATTATTTCATGTTCCGGAACAATGTAGAAATTTTTGTTAGAACATATTGATATAAACCACGCATGCTCATTGAGTTGGAGTCTGCAACTTTACTTACTAGGAGGATGTGAATGTAAAAGAGTCTCGTATCGATGAATAAAAATCCTTGCAAGAGACTATAAAAGGTTGAGCTACTCATATTGACAATTAATTTTACGATGAACCTTAATTTTTTTTATGGTATCAAGCTATCTCACATGTGCAGTCCAACGGCCATACTTAATTTGTGTTGTTGACATATTTGGCTTGAAAGAGGAACTGTATGAGGATCTGTATGAGGATCTGAAGGTAAAAGAGTATCACATAGGCAAAAGGAAAAACTTTACAAGCATTTACAATTAAACTATTTACTATATTACTAATTTGTTAATTAGTTTTACGATGAAACACCAACTTTCTTATGTTGCTTTATTGGCCATTTCACATAATAATTTCGTCCGTACAAATTTGTATGTTTGCGTTTACAGGTTGGGGTTGGGCGGGCCGATATACATGTGTGTATATAAACCGTAAATCGTGAAGAGTGGAGGACCGGTGTAGACTCGGAGAGATATCATGTCATTTCCTCACTGGTGGCAACTGGCAATTTGTCACACTCAACTCAACTGCTGCATGAGCATGCATGGTCCATGGATGATGATGATGGCTCCTTTGGCATTTCCCGCCTGGAGTGAAGTTCCTTTGAGAGGAAAATCCCACGGCATAGAATTAACTTCTTTCCCACTCCTTCATGATTTTTTTGGGTAGTGTGATATATAATTAAGTCATCCTCTCTGCCAAATGTGAAAGGAAAAAGTAATTGTCCCTGCATCATACAGCTGGATTTACCTGGCTAGGGTTTTATGTTAAGAAAGAATTTCACGTTGTAAAGCGATCATTTCTAGATCTCTTTCTCTTAATTTATCAAATCAAAAAATTTGTATCGTTAAAAATGGATCTAACAGCTACAAATAAGGATCCACTTTAAAAGTTATAATAACTTCAGCCGTTGGATCAATTTTTAATGATACGGATTCACTAATTTGGTGGATTAGAAAGAAGGAATCCGAAAATGATCCCTTTCCTTTCACGTTGATGAGATTGGATTATTTTTAATACTATCAATTGATTTTTTAATAAAATCTAACTTGCTATACATGTTTTACGTTATTTGAGTTGCATTGTTCACGTAGATAAAAGGATGTGTTGAGAATTTTCAACATTACATTAATAAGATTAAAAATCTTATGTGTTTATATGTGAAGGGAATCCCAACTTTCTCATTTAAATCGCGTGTGATGTGTTTGCGTCCAGTCGATCAATTCAATTGTGCACCGACCGATTAATCACGTAAATATTCTCACACATTTGAGTGTCCAATCGTGCATGACGGAATGTGAATGACCAGGTGATCAACTCAACCATGCTAATGACCAGTCACTCATATTCTACAATTATCCTTGTGCGTGATTGCATGGCTAACTATACTTTAGCCAAATTGGAATTGGAGTAATCTAGTCTGTTGTTCGAACTTAGGGGCTGTATATTATATGTCTTCGTTTATATATTATATGGTCCCATAATATAGGTGCAACTTGGCTAAACATTTTCATAAATCGCTACAAAAACATCAGATAATAATTAGGGTTCATCTAGCATGCACATGTATTAAGATGAACTGAGGGCCCTAGCCCAAATCTAAAAGGCTTAAGACTGATATTTAATAGGATTTTCTCCGACATATCCTTACCAAACACGTTTGCCATGAAAAATCTAATTTGTTGTCAAGCCTGAGGGGTTTAATCTTGTGTAGGGAGGGCTTCTACATAGCAAGAAGGATCTAGATAAAACGAGTTTATCGTTACTGTAGTATTTTTGGCTTAGTAGTATAAGGACATGTAGAAATATATATATGTAAGGCATTAAATTGATGAATCGGGATCAAGAGCAAATGTACATTGTGACCAATGTGGTCCGAGGACCATCAGGTAGCAGGGAAACAAGCATGTGAAGGTCTTCCACTCAACAAATGCTTGCTAGGCACATTTTAGCAGCACTTGACATGTTGCATCAACAATACTTGACAAATGTTCTCGAGATGACTCATCAAGTTGTTTCAGAAAATGTCATACTTGTTGACATATGCACAATATAGTTCAGTTGACGACAACAATCTATCAAGTGTTCGACGAAATGCCTCCGTTAATAAATTGAAATTTGTTTATGCACTTCGCACTATGTTTCTATTTGAAAAATGTAGACTTCTAACATTGAGACCCCAAAAATTCAAATCCTGAATTTACTATACTGCTCGGGATGTGACATATATAATATTAAATCATTTTCATATAATCTTTATTCTAAATAGCATACCATAAGCGTAATAATATATTCTCAATTATACCTAAACCTGAAACATGTTTTCATCAATTGGTATAAACGAAGGTCAAGAATTGTCTGCCCTTCCACTTCCAATGTCTTTCTGTGCCCTCCTGTTTTGTGTGGTCACAGTTAAGTTACGTTAATATTTTATATTATTTTTGTATAGAGATAATAAAATAAAAATAAATAGTAATATAAAATGTTGATGTGGTTTAATCGTGACTACACAAACAAAAGGGCACGAAAGACAGACAATCCTTGTCCATAAACGAAACCAGTTGTAATCTATGATTCCGTGATTTGTTTAATCAAATTGTTACTGTGATCTACCCATTGGATTGTCGGATCTTGCTCAAAAACCAGCTGTGTTTATTAACTAAACCTAACACGTTCAAATCTAATACTTTTTTTCTTAAAAAGGAACTTTGAAGTAGCAAGTGGAGAGAAGCCATAAACCCAGAACCCAAGACTGTCTATGTTATTCTAACACAAATGAATCTAATAAAAAGCTAGGAAGGTCGGCCGGTCAGATCAGATCAGATCAGATCAACTAATGAAATTTACTAGAGGAAACGCAGCTTCAAAAATATATGGTGTTTTATGGTACAAGATATCACTAAACTTTTCAAGGAAGGTGATACCAACCTGTTCCGCTTAAATTTTAATTATCGAATCGAATAAATAGAAGAAGATTAAAAATATGTGGACAAAATCATCTATTTTTTAACTGTTAACTCATAATTCTTACAATATTAAACCAAAACGATTAAAACATTTAAAAGATCTCATACTTCGGGCCTTGTAAAAAATTCCCATAACTTTTGCTTCAAGTTTTTTTTTGCGACAGACCTCGTGTGGAGGATATTAATTTACTTGGGATGAGATTCGAGGAGATAAGCAAGAAGGAAATACATATATATAATAATTTAGTAGACAGGTTTCTGCTCCTAGGGGAAAGTGGGTCGAACTCTCGAGTCAGATTTTGGGACAGCAAACCCATAACTTGTGTCCCTGTGATGATCACATTCATCAAGTAGCTGGCATGCATGTCACTTTGTCTAAATATAGCGTGTCACTTAGTCTAAATATAGCGTAGATATTCATCTCTCTTTTACAAGTTAATGTATAGTATTCTAAATTAATTACGTATTTTATTAATTTTATTTTTGAAATAATAGTGTATAATAAGTTTAAACTACATATGTATAGTATGACCTCTATAAATATTGAAACGATTTACTTACACCAACTATGCAACTGCTGCTGAGATCCGAATAATTAAGAGCAACTCCATTTGTTATGATGATAATTATTCGAATGATTAGATAATCGACAATTATTACTTAGTATATAGTAAATAGTAATTATCCGATAACATCTTCATTTTGTAAATGAATTGATTGAGTAATTGGCATTAAAAATTTGTTATTTTTTTAATTAATAAAATAATATTATTATGTTTAATTTCAAATATCTCTATTTAATGTTTTCGATTTTTCTGCATTTTTTTAAAAAGTGAATAATCACCCAATTACAAGAGTGACTGGAAGAGGTGGAGTTGCTCTAGCCTCTAACGCAAGATAGTTGTAATAAATTTGAGATACGAACCTTAGTCAGTGATGTTCTTCTCTCCTCTCTCTCGCGTCTGAGAGAGACTTATCTTAATCAGATAACACACCTTTAACGTTATTTAAAATTAATAATATAGTTTCATTTGTTTAATTTTTAAACGTGTTCTTGCGCTGAAATATTGATGAATGACTTAATTGGTGTAGGAAAGTATTTCTTCTGCCTCTGCAGTTGACCAGCCCAACCTTTCAACACTATTTATACCACCTCCCTGCTTCTCCTAAAATCATCATTATCTCAGTAGTCAGTACTTTCTTCTTAGCTCTTGACCTCTCCAGCTGTTCAACAATGGCTTCCAAAACCATGCTCCTTCTCTTTGCAACTGTTCTTCTTTTCACTGCTAGGGTAATTATCTACATCCCTCCAAACCCTAGCATTTCTTTTTTTTTTTCCCCCGTCATTAATTAGTATTATTGATTTTTTTTTTTCAGTTTAATTTCCAATATATTTTGGCGTGTCTAAAGTGATGTGATAACCTTGTTTTTGTAGGCTTCATCACTTGATGATCAAGAGGAATTCAAGATTAAGGTACTTTTAATTATATACTTTAAACAAAAAGTTCAATTATTGCTAGAAATTTTGACCTTCAATGTTGCGAAATTCTTTAATTTCAGGTTACTTATGTCAAGGCACCAGCTCCGCAACCTCTAGTCAAGGCTCCAGCTCCGCCGCCTCTTGTGGTCAAGGCACCCAGTCCACCACTATCCAAGCCACCGTCTCCACCACTTGCCAAGCCACCATCTCCACCACTTGCCAATCCACCATCTCCACCGTATACCAAGCCA